CGCGTCGGCCACTGGCTCGTCCAGCAAACGTTCAAGGTCCGAGAACAACAACAGCCCGTCCCACGGTAATCTGAACTCGATGAACGCGAGTGCACGAGACGAGCCACCTACCAAGAAGTCACGTGGTACATCGACGAACGCGACTAAAGCGACATCTTCGTCGTCTTCGAACGCGTCCTCGTCTCCTGAGACGAGTCCCTCGTCAAAAAATCGTGGTGGTTCCGTGTCGAGATCCGGAAACGCGCAAACGAAAACGTCCACGACATCGGTATCCACGTCGGATGCTGTGTCCAATAACAGTGTGCTATCCAGTAGTTGGCAAACCACGAACATGTCCGATGTGTCTACGTACGCTTCCGTGGCTGGATTGAGCATGGCCTCGAGTCCAACCGCCGGTCTATGCGCTGGTAGTCTTAGCATGCCTACCCCGATACCCTATATGTCTTCGTCTATGGCCACGTTCGTGGGAAACGCGACGAACCTGGGCAAGAGCTCGTCCGTCTCGTATCTGGACATTTCGAATATGACCGGTGGTTCGTTGAGCTCGGCCGCTTCCGGATTGAACAATGCCTACGTCGGGAATGGAAACGGTGGTAACGCGATGGACTCGAAGAACGGCGTGCCCATGCCGTTCTCTGGAATCGCGGCTGGTGTAAACGGGACCGGCTACGGGATGCAAAAGGGACAACCGGAGAACACGAGTCTGCCGAAGAAGTTTCAAAACGATAGTATGTTTAACGCGTATCAACCGTGGGTGATCAAAACGTACGGTGATTTGGCGAAGACTAAGACGATCACGATTAAAAAGTACGCGCGTATATTGCGAACATTGAGAGGTGAGGAAGTGAACAGTGCGGAGAACAGTAAATTTCGATTCTGGGTGAAGAGCAAGGGGTTCCACATCGGGCAGCCGGAAGGATACGACGCGAAACCGGCGGACAGGATTATCGGACGTCACGCGGTGACGAGTCCCGGATTGGATCCACCGTTGTACGTGCCCACACAGTTGCCGCATAACAAGGTGAGTAGTCTCTGTTTCTAGTATAGAGATTATCGTATGTTTCTCGCGGAATGCCGCTGAAGCGGAATATACGAACAGTTCCGGAGAATTGCAACCAGTCAGACGAAGTTCGGATGTTTGAGAATAATTGTTTATTTGTTCGAACGGGTAGAGATAACAAGGGAAAACGCGAAATCTACCTCTGTTTAAATGATTATTCGATTTTATATATCTATTTGTTTTTGAAAGATATTAAGACATAGGATTTAAGGATCGTCTTATGTAAGTTTAATCAAAATCGTTTGTTTATATTGTAGAGTAAATGGCGAGTGATTTGTAGGTTAGGTTTGGAAATTTTTTTAGAAATGAATTTATATGAAATCAAATTATGGATCGTTGATTATTTTATTTAACGTAATATTGTAAAATTTGAAAAAAAAAGTTTATAATTTGTAGTATTCACTATTCACACTTGATATCAATAAATTATTAGGTAGACGATGTTAGTAAAAAAAGAAATTCTGAATAAGATAGATCTGACTGCGTAAAACACCTGCGAATCGAGGTAAAACGAATGTATCTCGAAATCACGAGTCGAATAGTTGGTAACCAAATCTTTCGAAGCAAGCTGCGCTAAAAATACTTCATATTGAGTTCGCACATTTGTCCGACACTACACTGAATATACTCTAACCACGTATAAACACACTTCAGTCTGCTTCGGTTCAGTTACACTCATAGTCATCGTTTTTAAACTTTGCTTCGCAAATACTAGGCAAACGTGTCGCGTCCACTTTGTCCATTTCTCGCCAACCGTGAACATCGTTCGATTTCTAAAGCCATATTTAACAATCTTTTAATATAAATAAATTCGTGTCGCACATTGAACAATTCTCAAATTCATCCGATAAATCCGATAATTTAGCTAAAATAAAAGTATACACAAATATACACAAATACCGTAAAATATAACTGTATAACATAACCATAAATATTCGAGCGATAAATGTCCGAAACTTGGTGTCTATTCAAATTAAAATGGCGGCCAACGAACATATAGATATTTGAAGAAAGTCAACGACAAACCTCGTATTCAACGCGACCGCGTATCACGATTCACGAAAACTCGCCATAAAACCGGCATGCTCGGAAGTTGTCGCGTTTAAACGCCTTCGCGTGAGGGCGCTCAAGTGCCAAGCTGTCGACCGCAAACGTTTTCTCGGTGAATTCGCGCGGCGGTCCAATGGGGTTACGGGTCGAGAATTTATCTAGTAAGTGGAAAAACCGCGAGAAATCTCGGGTACGGCTGTCGGGAAAATGAATCGCGAGTTTGGTGTTATACAACGAGGCGGGATGAGGCGAAAGAAAAAGAGTGAGACGGGAAAGATGGAGGTAGAAAAAGGGAAGAGAAGTCAGTCGGATAAGGTGGCTGCTTAATTACATCTAATTACACGGACCGTATAGGCAGTGCTGGTGGCCAATGGCGTGTCCGCTGTTCGTCTAACGTGAACAAAGCCTCGAGCAACGGCGCTTCGATCCGGTTGCCTCGATACTTCCTTTTAACCGTTTCAACGCCTACGGCTCTTTGCAGAAATCTGATCGAAAAGTATCGAGAAGTCCGATCAAGATGTTTCTCTATTTATAGGACGATACTTGGAAAGATAGTTTTTAACCGTGATACGCTCTTCGAGACATTTTCAATTCGATTTTAGTCTTACGGTTAAGATATTGGTAATTAATATTCGTGATTATTGATTTATATTATCTTCTTGTTTTTTCATACGTAATCTACATGAACTTTTACGTCAATTCTCTCGTGATTATATTTTTTGGGTTGATTTAGTGATAGTTTTTAAAATGTGAAGTGTAGAATGTAAGCAGTATTAGTTGATACTTGAACGGTTAAGATTTGCTCGTGTCGTTCGATGGTCTCTCTTCACGTAACGTCGTTTCCGCGAAGTTTCGTCACGAAGCGATTACATTCTACGACTCTAGAATCCGTGGACGGATTCCTCCGTTATAGAGATATAAACGGACGACAGGATATTGAAAGTTGAAGTTTGAGGCGAATAGCAATGGAGGGAGGCGAGGTCGGAAAGTTTATCGATGAATTGCGATTGTTTAGAAGATGATCGATGGAATAAAAGTAGAACATTTAGGTTATTTTTAAACATTATTGAATTTAAATTGTTCTGTGATTTTTTTATGGATTATAATAATTAAAGATCTATTTCCATCATAAAATCTCGTCCATCCTAAAATATTCTTCGAAGATCAAAAATTCTGAGCTCCATTTTCATTTTTGTCGTCCGACTAGTGTCCCAGATCTCTCTCGATCCACTCTCGCGGCAATTCCCTACGTAACTCGCCGCGGCCTTCGATCTCGGCCAGCTTTAATGGCTCGTCCATTTCTCACGCGCGAGATCGCCGCGGCCCTCTTCTTCCTCGCTCGGCTCCCATCTCGCAAGTGGAACGCGAACGATCTCTGCGAGTCTTGAAGAGAGATACTCACTCTCCGCGAAAAAATTTCAGTCACGGGCCGTCGTGATAAATAACCGATAATAAGTTGTCCGACGGAGCGGCGTATGGTAATCCCCTTTTCCGTGGATCGATCTTCCGACAAGAGGATCGCGCGCGAGAGAACGTCCGACGTTGGATATCACCCAGATTGGAATCGATTCTCGAGGCTTTCTTCGAGTCGGCGTTCGTTGTATTATCGAGAACTCTCGATCATCCTTCTGTGGATAGTTGCACAGGCATCTCTCTGCGCATGAGTGAGTTCTGGAATTTTTTAAGACGAATTCATTTTGAAAAAATGATTTTATTTTGATAATTTAAAATTATTGAATTGCAAATCTTCGAGTCAACAAAAATTTAAAAAAAATTAAAATTTATTTTTTCGTGGAAGGATAATCTTTTGAAAAAGATTTTTAATAATATGGTTAAATATTGAAGTTTGAGATTAAAAATCGAAGAATTATAATAACGTTATTTAGTGAAGAGTCATATCTAAGTATACGTAGCGATTGTATCTCAATTTCAGTAGAATATTTGAAAACATGACTTATATGATGTAAAAAAAGGAGATGATCACCGAGTCCGAGCTTCGATGTCGTTGGATCGTTTGATTACGAAATAATTGGAATTATTAACATATTATATTTCGCGCTTGAAGATTTTTACATCGTTTAGATATAAAATACACAAGTTCATATAAAAAAACTTGTAATTTCTTCAGTTCAGATCTTATTTCGAGATTACAAATCTACATATTTAAATTGTGTATAATTAAAGTTGTAAATAGATAACTATGACGTATACGATTTGGAAAAGTCATAAGGCAATAAATTAATTAAGTAAACATGAAAAAAAAGTTGTAAGAAAAGATGTATGTAAGGAAAACAGCCGATACGTTTCACTAAAAAGATATTCAGGATAGAACATATTCTTTTCTATATTCTAGTGCCACCATTCGCGGAAAAATCAAATATAATCCCTAATTCAAGATTAAAAATAATAGAAAAAAACATGAAACATATAAATAACTTCTGCGAAGTAAAATATAGATGTTTCATCGACAAAAAACATCATCGTTGATAATTCAATTCAATTCAAAAATTCACGAACGTTAAAACGATCTACATATAAACTCTTCTTAAATCCAAAAGTTTCGTCTGCCATACGACATCGACTCACGGCCGCCAGTAGAAGTAAACGAGCGAACGAACGCGCGTTTTCCCGAGGCTTTGGGTCTCGAAACGCGTTCTCAGGCGGCGACGGGGCCACAGAGCCGGAGAGAGAGGAAATAGCG